AATATCACCCACAGCAAAACCAACATTTTATAACTCAATGTAAGGTAAATGATCAGAACACCTATTCAGCTAACTACGGTTCCAAAATAAGATCAACGCAAATGGAGAAACAGTGTGTACTTACATGAGACAGACTGACTTATTCTTTTCGCTTTTTCCCTCCCGAGATCTCTAGTGAAGATACAACATATTTTTTTAGCAAAATAGGAGAGTTTTGAAAAAGAGTAAGTAAAAATAAAATTCACATGGATGGATGTAAAACAGTAAATGGCTTACTGAGCGAGAAGGGGAAATAGGGAAAGAAAGAGGGAGGAGGCGGGAAGACGAGACAGCGAGTGTGAGAGGATGGTGGGAAGAGAGAGGGAAAAAAAGGGATGTGTGGAAGGTTGAAAAAATAAAAAGCAAGGCAGCCAGGACAAAGGGGTAAGGAGCAGTGGAGAAATTATAAACAAAATGTGCTTTTTTCCCCCTCACTTTGTACTCTGTGACAGGTCTTCAGTTTCAGCACCCTGGACAGTTCATTATGTTTTATTATAAAAGGGGAATAAAAGAAGGGATTTAGGAGAAATAAAAATAAGCCAAAGAAGATGACAATTAATTGTTTTAAAAAGTGGGAATATTTAAAACGACACCTAACTTCAGCTTCAGACTGAGTGATGACACTCCAAATATCAGACTGTCCTGCTTACAATGACATGTAGCTATAAAGCTCAGGCTCAGATACTCTCATGCTCTACCCCCACCTCCCTACTCTCCAGAATTGGAGACATCGTTTTGAATGCCCCCTTCTTTTACTTTTTTTTTTTCTTTTTTTGACCACCAATCACCTTCTTACAAAACCCCCTCTATTAGTATAAAGAAAAAAATATCTGATGCTCTTAATGTAATTACCGGGTCATTGAGGCTTACAAATTGAAAGTACAAATAAAACCAGTTATTTCATAAGCTGGGGCCTCACTTCACATGCAACCTCTAAGACATGACACGCACAGAAGATCAAACCAAAGTAAGGGGAAACAGTGCCCCCTGCTGAACCTGTGCTTTATGGTTTAGATTGTGTTCAAACTAAAAGTGGACAAAGAAAATCCATGAAAAATCCTAAAACATAAAACATTTTAATATAAAATCCTTGTTTAATAAAAACAAATACAGACAGGTGAAACAAACGTTTTACAGATGATTGTTGGAAGCAAACAATCATCTGTAAAATAAAAAAAAATTGCAGCATCATGAGGGTGAACACAGCTTAAACATAAAATAAAACACAACATAATCTTTTCCAAGTCTAGCAAAAGATATCAGTCTACCTTTTGCTCCCTCCTGACATCTATCTGCAGTTCACACTCAGCTCACCTGAGGAAATCAATATGAGCTCTTTGTTCCGAAAACAGAGAAGCAAGGTGGGGTTAATGAATTCTGACATTCTGGTACTGATCCATGTCTAACACCATGGACTTAACAAAAAGGATGCTCTAACAGAGCCTAAGCTCACACTTTTTTAGTAATTTACTTTAATGTTAAGTAGATACTCTCTACTAACCCTCATCATATAGTGTTTTACATTCTATATCTTCTCTAGCAGATAGATCGGTTGTGGAAAAAAGAAGGAAAACAAAACAGAATATTTCTAATACAAAAAAATTAACTGATATGTGGGGAAATCGTTTGCTTTCCTTGTTTCTCCCACAACATGTTTAGGTATTTGAGCCAAAAAGTTAAAATCTTTTTCAAATTATGTGTATTTTTAAATTTCATCCTAAAAGAGAATTGTCCTATGGTTTGTGTTATCAACAATAGCTTTATTCTTGCTACTCTTACGCAAAGACTAAGGCCCCTATTCACTAAGAATCCTAATACTACAGGAAGATTTTACTGACGTTATTTTAGAAAAAAAAAATTACAATTTTACCTCATCAAGTTAATAATGACTCGTTTAGCATCTAGGTCTAAGAGAGCAGAGAGCAGGACTTGAGCCTAAGACTGTCAATCACAAATAAGCAGGGACGATGAAGGAGATCTGTTTGGCTGATCCAACCCCTAAACAGTTAAAATAGTTTATTTGCTAGTTTACTCTACTATCATACAATTATGATTATGGAACTAAGATAAACATAACAATTTTCACTAGAGAAAATTAATAGTCTCTGTGGTCAGATAAATTAAAGATACACCTCTAGTAATGTATTTTTTCTGATAAAACATAATAGGAAAACAAATTTTAAAAAAAGCTACTAATAACCACAAAAACAAAATTAACTTGTTGTTTCATAATGTAATCAAAGTCCCCTTAATTCCTTAAAATAAGTTTATAATAGAAATACTATAAAGACAATTCTAATTTAAATTTACATTTAATAACCATCATCAGTTTTTATATTACTAGGGTTATAATATTCATTTTAATAAATCTTATGATATTCCACCCTCACTTCATGTTAATGATAAAAGGTTAAATCCTGTCTTTTTAATTATACACCAGAGGTTTCAGATACTTCGGCATTCATATTACTATGTAGCTAGTTATCTTATTTAATGAGAATTTTGCAGCTGTTATGGATATCATGAAACTGGATGCTCTAAATTGGAATAAACTACCTCTCCCATTATCAAACTAGTTGATGACTGAAAACAACTGTATTCTGATGTGATAATATTATTATATTACGAGCATAAATTCCCATGTCGGCCATGGTAGCTGCGCTACATGAGGATCTCACAGTATGTTTTAAAAAGCATTAATCTGCGCCTTTTCCTGAATCAGGCAAATATTTCCATTTGGCTTCTCCAGTTATCAGCAAATTATTTTTCAAACACTAGTTGCTAACTTTAGATTTACTGTTCTGTTTTTATTTTATTTTTTCGATTTTTGTTGGAATATTTATAATTCACCAATATATTTATTTCATTAAGGGGGAGATGAAGGGATAGGTACTGTTAATGTTATTTCTATTCTGGAAAATTATGATTATGCGATATAAAAAGTGGAAAAAGAAGAAATACAGTTTTTAAAAGTAGCATTCTTAATGTTTATGTCACTGAAACTGCTCCAAATCCAACCGATGGTATCCTTGTTTTCAGTATAATTGAGTTTAAACATTATCTGAGTTTGATTTATATTCTATCAATATAATTAAATCTAGTTAATATACAGCTTGCATTGTAACTTACCAGGGCAACAATCCTATAATAAAAATAACAAAAGAATAGCAGAAATTAACATAAACTAACTATTCAATAATGGAAACATAAATCTACAATTATACAACAAATGCACCGAGCCAATCACTAGCCTAACATTTTTAAATATAAAAGCATTCCTCTACAGCATACATGCGCGCTCTTAAAAAGCTCTCACATTCTTGCTGAGTCTATATTTAGGGATCTGACTTTTAGATGGAGGACATATTAATCCAGTGTGAATAGAATTTGAGCCTGTCTCACTTTCTGTCCAACCGTTTTTTAATGTAGACTGAAGCAGAGAAACTCTGGGTTGAAGCTGTATTGAAATGAGAGTCTGCAAAATCCCTTTTTTCCAAAAGAACATAAAGACTTAAAAAAATAGCCAAACAAGAATAGGTCTTCTAGGAAAGGAGACTGCCATGGCATCTGCTGAAGACCAAATGGAGGCTCAGTTCTCTCAGTGGAGTTAGCATATTCCAGTTTTTTTTTTTTTTTTTTAGATTGACTATGGTGAGTAACAGCCGCCCTCTCCTGGCCCACAGTGGAATATGAATAACATTAGAGAAAACAGGCTGATTAAAGTCAAAAGCTGAACTAAATACCAGTTTTTTCTCTTCCCCATTTTCCAATCCGTGCTTTCCGCACTCTGTGACCTTTGATCTTTTGAAAAACCTTATTTGTGTCCTGTGTGAACATCTACTGGCATGAGATTCTTCCCAGCGGGCTACATATTACCTTAGCATGCAGGTTAGTAAATACATAAGTGCATATAAAGTTTAAAGACAACAGAGGAGGGCTCTTCGTCATACTGCACTGCCGTGGAGCCAGTGGGAATTAGTAGGTTGAATACAAAGCGAAAGACAGATAAATACATTGATGACAGAATCTGTGTGAAATCAGGGTTATTCTAAACTGGATCTAGGTGCTGGCTTTTACTGGACCATTTTTACACATGTATAGGAATGGATTTATACCATTTGATTGAGGCTCTAGCTACATGTTTAGGATAGTTGTTCTACTTGTATTCAATCTTCCCATCAACACTGACCAGCTTCCCCACAGGCTGAAGAAAAGCCTCCCTTAGAGTGATGCTGTAAATACCATGTTTCACAGTAAAATTGGTGTGTTCAGAGTGATGGACAAATTTAGCTCTTCACAATACATGTTGCATAGCACTTAAGCCAAAATGTTTAATCTTGATTATGACTTGTGGAAAACTGCAGAGGGGATCTACTTTTGACAGTGACTTTCGAAATAACACTGTGCCTTAAAGGGAAGATTTGAAGTACAGGACTAACATTTTTCTTGTTGACCGATCCTCCCACATGAGTTGTGAATCTCTAGAGCTCATTATTAGTTCCCAACGGACTTTTGGCTGCTTCGATGATTAATGCTCTCCCTTATCGACCAGACAATTTAGGTGAATAGCCATGTCTTAGCAGCTTTGCAGATGTTCCATTTCATGTGTAATATTGGATGATGGATTACACAGGGTTCTGTAAAATGTTCAAAGCTTGTTATAACCTGACTGTGTTAAACTTCTCCAAAACTATCCCTGACCCGTCTGCTGCATTCCTTAGCCCACATGAAAAATAATATTTTGCAGCAAAACTAAAAAATACCTGTTATATACACAAGTTGCCTACTGATCTGTGTATCAGTGTCTGAATGTGTGCGTTTGAGAATGTGATAATGGTCACATAACTAGGAAAGTGCTACATAAATTCAATCCTTTTACCATTTTAACATTTATAATACAAAACTGATAAGAAAATGTTTAACAGAACAAACAAAAATACAAATAAAATAATTTAGAAAATAATTAAAAGTTTATTTTCAGGAGAACTATGATAAGACATCATATACCATCCCTCTGATTTGTTGTCCAGTCTTTTGTATACATAGCAGGGCCGGCTCCGTGAACGTCTTTATGCATGCATGCGTTTTTTCTGTACATGCATGGGAACAGCTGCCACTCTGGGCTAACCAGCATAGCTTGGCATAGGAGGAAAATGGCAGACGGTACACCCAGCAGACCAAAATGTTCACTTGAAGACAATCAGGACTCCAGTTTTACTCAGAGCTAGCTTTTTCCCCATGTATTCTATGTAAGCGTCACTAACAGCAACTTGAGTGAGCTGTGACTTTTACAAGTGACAATCTATTTTATGTGATCAAGCCTGGTAGAAAATTAAATTATAATATAGTGGTTTGTTTTGTTGTACAGATTAATGCTGAAAAATACTGAAAGTTCGCTTGTTACTCTTTTAAGAAAACATTTTCCACATTTAAAAAAGAAAGTCACGGTTGGTTCATTTGAATGTAGCAGCAGCTCGTAACAGCTGCTCTTACCAGATTGATCATTCATCATGCGGATTGCTTTCGCTTTAGCCAACTCCAGCGCAGTAACCCATCTCTGCCGCTCCACTTCGGTGCTTGCCTTCAAGTGGTATGTTCGCCCACCGCTGCTAAGAACAATGTTGCAGGCATCCTCAGTATCAATGTGTGCTGTTGCCAAGTTTATAGTTCCTCGACATGTATGGGCCATCTCTGCCTGTGTCCTACAACAAAAAAATTAACAAAAGGCAGGAGATAAATCCAAATATACCACAAAACTGAGTAGTGTTGAGAGTGAACAAGTTAAGGACAGCAGCTGTTGTTCAGTCTTTCATTCAAAAAGGCTGGGTCTGCAGCTAGTTTTACTACTGCTACTGAGCACAAGCAGTAAGGGGAAGAGCAACTAAATAACAAAGCAACAATAAAATATCAGGTCATGTTACTAAACCAAGCATGAACCATGAGAAGGCGCACATTATGAATAATAAACTTGCATTAGTTTCTTTTGAACACATTTTTTAGCTTTTCTTATAACAGGATCTCCCTCCTGCTGTTGAACTGTGGGAATCTGGATAGCCTCTGCTACACCAACTGTGCACAGTCAGTGGGCCTTTAGAAGTGTAGATAACAAGGCCATTGTGCAGCTTCAGGCCTCTTTGCTGACCACAATTGAACAATGAATAAGAGTCCAGACAAAGAAAGGAGTGAGAGAGGAGGTGAACACCAGTGAACAATAACGGACCGGCAATGATAAGAATATTAACACAAAGTAATCAATACAAATATTGTTTGCACACGCTGCATTAGTTTTTGATGAAGACCGTACAATTCATTTTATATTTGAATCCTGACAACCAACAGAATCGAGAATTAAGAACCTTTATTGTCATTATGAAACCAGTAACTCAATTTTGCAGACTCCCAGCTTAGAAGGCATACACTACAAAGATAGAAAATAGAAAAACGCCCTTAGGAGAAAAGAAAAGAAAAAAAAAAAACGTATATTTAAAAAAACATGGAAACATTTGGAAAACTGGAAGAAATTATAAGACGTTATCAGAGGAAAAATGTGTGTATAGAAATTGAGCATTATGTAGTGTGTGCAGAGAGCAGCTACTGGCAGTCTAGTCCATGGGATGACCTGATTGGAGGTGTATGTTTAAATTTTTTTCCACAGCTTCTCAGAGGAAGCTGTCAAGAAGTCTGTTTTGGACCTAATGTTCCAATATTGTTTTTCTGCCCTTAGTGGGACAGTCAGGGAATTGCATGGATGGGTGGGTTTGGAAATGCATGTGAGCTTTTTCTGGACTTGTGCAGTGTGAACGAAGTCCAGATCAGGTAGACAGGATCCCTGTGATGTTTTCACCTTGCAAGCTCAGTCCCTAATCCTGTGTCATGAAGCTCCCATACAAAACCATCACAGTGAGACAAGAGAGAGAGCAGTCTGCTTTGACTTCCTTAGAAAAATGAACCAACGTTGGGCTTTCCTTACCTAGTGGGAAGACCTCTGTATACTGTAGCAGCGGTCAAAGAAAAATAGTGAATACTGTCCAAAGTGCTCCAGAGAAGAGTGTGTACAGTCTTCCCTGATCTCCTGTAATGTACTATGACCTTCTTAGGGACACTGGTTATCAGGATAAGACCTTTCTGTAGTTCGCCACATTGGTGTCCTCTGCAAATGTTAAAATCATGTTTTGTGAGGATAACAGAGCAGTTTCCGTTAAAGAAAGTAAAAAGTGGCTACCTTGGAGGATTCCAGCATTGAGGGTCAGTGGGGCAGATATAAACTTAACTTAGGCTAATATAGGGTCAATTAATAAAGAAGTCACTGATACAGTGGTAAACGGGTGCATAAACTTAGGTTGTAGATTTTCAGGTCCAGCATGTCCAGAGATTCGGTGCTGAAGGCTAAACTGAAGTCCACAAAATCCTCCTAAAATAGGTGTTGCAAATAAGTCATGGCCGTATGGAATATTAACAAGAGCTGTTCAAAAATAAATAAATAGCACTGTTCTGAGAAAACACTGAAACTCAAAATTATATTCTATCAGGGTGAGTCAATTTAAGCTACAGGGAAAATATGGAGCATGATGTTCCCTGGACATTCTCAAACCAATAAATGAAGCTTTCGGTTTGATCAACAAGAAAATGCAAAAGGCTAATTACTTAATTAATTTCCAGGTTCTCTATGCCGTCCATCTAAAACATTTAGCAGCAGCTGAAAAGTTTGCTTAAATTTTTTATGCATGTCTGAAAAGAAGAAGGTGAAGAAAGATCTCAACTGAAGCAAGAAGTGCATTAAATTTAAACTAAAAACAAGAACAATTTTAATCCTTTACTTGTGCAAATCATGTAAATTTTACTGAAACATAATTTTACTAAATGTTTCAAATATAAGAGTCTTAACAAAAAAGAACATTGCACTTAAATTGCTGCCTTAATGCATATAGAAACATTGCTACAGGTAAAATAATAACTACATTCTGAACACATACTGTACTAGAAGTTGCACTTCAGTTTAAAATTAAAACCATGGCTAAAAGAGGAGCAGATATGTTCATTTTATTCTTATATTTAAATGTTTTGAGTCTTGTAGCCTGAAAAATAAAAAAAATTTAAACAGTTATTATGCCATCATAACGAAAGAGACCATCTGGGTTGTTATCAACACACTGTTGTAGAAAATAGAAAAAGAAGCCTTTGTGATTGTATGGGGATACATTTGTGCACACAGGATCAGGATCTGCACATCTGTGAAATCAAAAGCTTATTATAAGATAAGACATGAAAATCTTTCTATTTGTTTGTAAATCAATTATTGATCAAGCATGCAGCCGTGCCTTCATATGAAAGTATCTTTTTGACTCTAAGAAAAAGCAAATCTTCCAATAAAGGTTGCTACGGCTTTACTGAGTCAAAGGTTTAGTGTTTATTTATATAAAATCTGCCAGGCAGCAGCTTCTCTAAAGTCAAGTCTCGCTGTCATGCCAAATGAGAACAATCGTTTCAGTGTACCATTCCTCTGCTGGCACTCGGTGCACATCAGTTCCACAGACAAACACTGCACTGGGGCCATGCGTAGCAGAGCAGGGAACGCGCCAGACAGGGATCCTCAACAGTCTAGTTTGCAATTTCACCCAGCCCAGCTCTGCTATAAAGTCCTGAACGTTAACTGGGTCAGCAAAAGGGAATGTGCCGCTGATGAGTAAGATGAAACGCATGCTGATTGCTGCTGCCCTGTGGGGAGGCCAGGCCATGCAAAGGCCGCAAAGCTACGCAGTCAACAGAAAAGCTGTTTAACAACGATAAGGAAACATAGGGGTGTTAAGGCACTGGTAGGATGAGGAGGGGGAAAGTGAGAAGGTAGAGTTGAGCTGCATGAGGGGTCCTGCATGATGCGCTGCATCAAGAGACCATTGCTGTGTTTTACCTGTCCGTCCCCAGTGCACACATCCTCATAAAACATAAATCCACCGATCTGGAGCATGTAACGACAGAACAACAACCAGTGAACAACACAGGACACACAGCAGTGAGTGTGGAAACAGAAAAAAAAAGAGATTATGTGGATAAATAAGCTTGATAGGTTTTATTGTGATTGTAGGCTTTAATATTGGAAAGAAAATATCAGAAAGCCACCACTGACAGCTGGAGATAGGCAAAAGCACCCCTTGCGACCCCAGCAGGGATAAGCATGACAGAAAATGGATGGATGGATGGACGGACAGACAGACGGACGGATATCAGAAAACCACTGCATAACACATTGAATATATATATATATATATATATATATATATATATATATATATATATATATATATATATATATATATATAACAAATATAAAGCTGAAAGAAAAAAAAAACAGCAGTGATGGTCAGCTTTAGACAGCTTAGTAACTGGCAAGTTAAGAATGTAGCCAGAGTCCCTTTTTTGTCATCCCTTTGCTGCTGCTGCCACATAAAAACACAAAGACAACACAGACAGGCACCCAAACACAGCCCCTTTGGCATGCACACCCTGTCGCCTGATGCTAAAACCAATGAATAGACCATTAACAAGATTAGATCAAAGCAGCAACATTGCTTGCTCCAGTCACTCCAGATGAAACGCCCGTCCTGCACACTGGATTTAAGCCAGGATGAAACCTTCAGCTGGGCCCTGAGGTTGGCTTGCTCAACCCTCTTCCTCCTGACTGACCCGGCAGTAACACCATAACCTGACTCTCCAAAAAAGGACCCAGGCTGTAGTGAGCACCAGGTGAGCACTTAAAATGATGCTATCTGGTTTCCCTCAAGGCACTGGAGCAAAACACGTTCAGCCAAGACTACTATGAAAGACAAGACCAGATGGTGTGATACTGCAGCTCCAATATTACCCAAAGTTTTAATGCTTTACAATGCTTGCCTAACGCAAATGTTGCTAAGTAATGAGGAAAGTATTAAATCTAGAAGTAAAGTTAATTAAGCATCTTTAAAAAAAATACTGTGAAGTTCTGAGAAAGCATACAGTCATATGTCTCCTTCAGCATAATGAGGCTCTTTGTGTGATTTAAAGTAACAGAAGGCATGACACAAAGCTGATGTGGAGAAAAGAACAGCCAGACTTGCGGGTTTTCAGAGCCAAAGTAATGCAGGAGTCAATACAAAATGCATTTTAGATTCACTATTCAACTCATTACAATTAGCTTGCTCAACTGCTGAGTGTGTCAGCCCATTCACAGCCTCAGAGCATCGATTGGAGCGCAGGTTAAAGAGCCAAGCCAGTGCTTTGATAAAAACAGACTGCATGAGCCTAAATAACTTCTTAAGCTACTGACAGAATTTCAAAAGGTGTCCAAGACCCTGCTGAATAATTAGAAATATATACTTAAAAAAAAAAAAGATCCCTGTCATTCATACAAATGATAAAACACAGCAGGCCTCATTAGTACCAGTTATTAACATCCAATAAGCTTTTATTTATAACATTTGGGAACATTGCAACTATAAACTTCAAGAAATGAAAATACTAATTGGTTGTCAAACAATCATGAAAAATAAATGCTGGAAAGTGTGTTGTTTATTTCTATTTAGACTTAATTGAGGATCATTAGAGAAAATTAGTAAATATACAGCATACTGTATAACATGGAACAAAACAGAAAGACAAGAGACTGAGTTCTGGGGAAGTATAAAGCTGATTTGGTTCAAAACAAAAATCAAAATAAATACCCCAGTTTGTGGATACTGTTGAATCCATTATTTTTTTTAAATACAGAGTATTCTATCTAGAGATTGCCCACCACTGACATGCTCGGCAGGAAAAGCAGTTATAGGAGCCAGGGAGTAGCTCTGGATGGGCTGCAGGTTCACAGATGAAGGTGAGATGATTGGCAGCTAAGCAGTGAGGGCAATATATTTATTTGTTTAACTAGAGCCATGAAAAAAATTACCTTGTTGTAGTTTGTCACAAGCCATGCAGGAAAAACAGAAAAAAAGACAATGCTCTGGAGAAATACAAGTCAAATGGAACATCTTTAAGTCAACCTAAAGCAAAATGTGCGCTAGGAAAACAGCATTGCACATCAGGCTGACACTTTACACTGGAAAAACCATGGCGATTTTTATGCAGTATAGTCCTGTAGGAAGCTTTTATTTAACAGTATCTAACTGACTTGCAAGCCCAAACTGTTAACTAATGTAAAGTCCCTTGTGAGGAGCCCCTTAGTTCAAATTGCCCAAATGGTGCAAGGTTTTACATAAAGACACCTTTTTTCCATTACAGTATATGAACATCAGACTAGCCTTGCTGCTGTCAAAATTCTTGCTTGATGCTCTAAACTCAGAGAATAGTGCGTTCTCTTTCCAAACACAATTCAAAGGAAAAATTCTCTTTTTAAACACATAATCAAATCTTCTCTTCAAAAATCAATCAAAATGCATGCAGTAAAATAAAACATTAAAAAAAATTATAAGCTGCATAATTTGCGCTTAGTTTATCTGATAAAAGAACAAAAATAGAACTGCATGTGCAGCATAAAGGGTTCATGTGGGAAGAAGCACATTTGTGACTTGACACACAATGAAAGCACATTAATTAACATGTTGTCACTTTCGTCTCTGTTGCCTTTTTACTCCACTGACAGATAGTCTGTGCCGAGAAGTCTCACAGAGAGGCAAACAAAGCCCAGAGTAAGATACATACACAATGCTGTCATTACAGGAAGACATCAGTGGAGGGGACAACGTGTGCAACTCAATGCTCAGATGTTGACAGGTCATCTTTTCTTCAACAGGGTTGGTCACCTTATAACATAATGGACCATTAAGGCTGGGAGAGGCAACAGGTGTCTTTCATTTCACAGGTCCTACAGGCAGGAGTCAAACTCTAAGCAAAATAACATGTTGATAATAACAAAACCACAATACAGCTGCTAAAGTAGCAAGATTTGGAATGGAAATGGCCTTGATTAGACAGCTTCACAATACATAGACAGCATGTTTTATTTAGTAGCATGAAAAGACTAAAAACTCTTGCGTTTCAGATCTATAGGCACATATTTGTAACAAACAGAGGCCAGATATAAACAATTGCAACAGTTTTTTTTTTTTTGTTTTTTTGTTTTTTTTAGAAAAAGCAATTGTTTTTAAAGTTTTTTGTGTTAATTTATCACCAAGGTCAAAATGCAATTACAAGATTTTGCAAATTAAACTTCCTGGTCACAGCCTTGACTAACAGACCAAGGTTACCTCCAATGAGCGACTTCTTCAATCTGCTGGGACCATTTAATTAGGGAATTGGGTCAGCCAGTTCAACAGCTGTTGTAGGACATATCAGTCTGTGTGGGTGTAAATGTTCATTACATCGAAGTCTGTTCTTTCAGCCTTCATTCTAAAAGCTTCAATACTAGGGTTCAAAAAATCAATCGGATCAAACATGATTGATCGATTGTTTAAAGAATCGTCTACTAATTCAGTAATCAATTAATCTTTAATCTGAGTATAGTCTAAAAACATACCTTTAGCTGAAAGAGGAGCCCACTCAAACCAGTTAGTACACCAGAAATGTAAAAAATACAGAAACATTTTGCACTGAAGATGAAAAACCCTTTTGCCCATTAACACGCTCTGTCCAGAAGTCGTTACAGGGTACAGCTTTAGCTTCACTTGGTTTAAATTCTGTGTAAAATCTTCTTTAAAGAAGGTTTAGCCTCCCGACTATTATTCGATTAATCAAAAAAAGAATCGACAGATTAATTGATCATCAAAATAGTCATTAGTTGCAGCCTAATTCAATACCTTCGATTTTATTTTAGTACATTGCACATTTAAGATCTACAGTATATGGTACAATGCTTTATAAGACAAACTACACAGGGTGACTGTAAGCTTTTTCAAATGTTGGCAGAACATTTTAGACTGTCAGCAGTAGGGGAATTAAACTCAGTTGTTCTGACTAGAACATCTTATCAACATATACCCCAATTCAACTGCTGTCATATTAAACTCAATTTTAATAGGAAAAACATGGGTGTTTTGTCCTGATAAATTGACTCCCTTAAATTTGAGATTATTTTCCATCATCTCTCTGTGTTCATGTCAAACTAACATCTTCCTTTAAACATCAATACGCCACAGGTGTCTGTAGTATAAGTGATGTTAGGTAACAGGCAGAAACTGTTAGAAGGTAGTGAAGACAGACTGATAATGATATCAACCACATACGGTGATGTATCTCATTACAGTGAGTAAATGGAGTAGCCACTCTCATTTAATGGAGCTGAAGCGCTAAATAAATGAAACTTTAAAGTTATATGACTAAATGAAACATGCAACTGCTATCCTTCAGGTTGGAGCTGGTACTTGTATCAAATTCACTGTAGGCATGAGGAGGTCTGAGATTATCTCAAGATGAGAACTATTTGTATGATTTAAATGTAGTTTTTCTAGGTAACTTTTGTTAAACAAGCAGCTTTTCTTTAACTTCAACTGTGAAAACTAAGCAGGGGAAATACTAAAAAAATCAGACCATTTCTATTAAAAGAAACAAATGTAATATCACCAACTCTTTAAAAAAATTAACTAAAGTGTGTAGTATATTTGTACTATGTTGCAGTTCATAAATAATACATTAAAGCAAGATTACTGCAATAATGTTAGGCAGGAGTTTTTTTTTTGTTTTTTAGCAGACTGACGAGACTAGGGAGGGGCAGCAATGAACTCTCTTTCCTCCTTTCATCTTAGTTTACTCCAGTAGTTTTCCCAGCCTCTCATTTAAAGGCTTTTATATTATATGATGGAAAATTGTTGCTGTTAAAAACTACTTTTTATAAAAAAAAAAAAAAACCTTTACTTTTTATAACCTCTAGATGTATCGTGATAACAGCTACCATTTCATGTCTAGTTGACTTGAAGTTGTTTTATATAGTGTCTTTTGATGTTAACGTCAAACTCCTGGTTGCAAACTAGTAAAGATGAACCTTCGTTTCCAGTTCTCACATACAAAAATGTTAATGTCAGAGGGAATCTTTGTTGAATAAGAGTTAGAAAAAGACAAAGAATTTGCTCAAGCTGATCTATGAAAATACATTTTACATTTTATTACATAAATTGTGTCATTTGTCTTGTATTTCAAATCATGTTTTGATTGCTCTGCACTCTCGTGATAAAGTATTTTGTAACTCAGTCCATACTGTATATTTACAGAGAAGTACAGCGAATTCACACAAATCTAAATTTTCTCTGAAAAATAGCCAAGTATTTGACCAGCTTTGCAATAAATCAGTCAATTAATAGAAATAATATTCCTGTAAAATGAAAACAAAAGCAGAAAAAAATATTAACAAATAACATATATTCCATATGTGACTGCAACATAAAGAAGAAGACATTAAAACAATGGAACGTCTTTCCTTAAAAAAAACTGTATTCAACAAGTTATTCTAGCCAATGACAGGAGGCTAATGGGCTAGCTGAGTTGGCTAGCTAATGTCTGCATCTATGGTAACCTTATTTTTTCCTTCACTTCATTAAATTAGGGTAAGATACACATCACCCTGAGTGTTCCTGCTGGTGTTTTACTGTAGATTGTCCATAGTCTACGTTTATTTAAGCCGAGGGGAAAAGACTGCTCTCTGCATCAGCTGGAAGTAAACAGAGCCTAACTGACAGCTAGCTTTAGCTGCTGCTAGCCAGCTGAGGGAACCAGCTGTCATGATGCGCCTACAGAAATATGACACTTTCTGCGCTTTTCTATTATCCCAACACTCAAACATACTACTTCAATAGATATATTACCTGTAATAGGAAAGCAGGCCGTTGCTTAGGACGAACCATCGCCTCTGGTACCCTTTCAGATAGTTAGTCCATTTAAAGAGCCAGCCTTTGTAGGTGTCCGACCCCGGAGCTGGGGCCGCGGTGGAGGTGGATGCCGAGCCCTTCCCTTGCTCGCTCATCCTCGGCTCCTCCGTACGCCAAGGAGGCGCAGGTTGATAAACCGGACCGAACCGGGAAGGTGACAGCGGAGACGGGGATACTACGCCACTGCGGCTGCCGGGGCGAGGACGTCCGAGCGGACGGGAAGGAGGGTTCGGTCTGCGGCGAGAGTAACCAGCGTGGAGCACTTTCACATGACTCCGGAGGAAGGACGAGGAGTGATGCCAAGACACTGTGCTGCTGATGCAGACTACTGCGGAGTCAGAGCTTGGCAGTACAGAAAATCATTTCCCTACAAGCTTTTCCTGCTGTAACCGAAAGAGAAGTTATCACCATGGTGACTGGTCCAAGCTGTAGAGGCAGAGCTTCGGAGAGGGAGCGGCCTTTGCTGCTTGCTGTCCGAGAAGCGATGCCTGAATGGGAGCAGCAGTTCCATCAGGTCCAGCCTGTGATTCACAGCTGCACCACGTGACTGTGTCATCTACACATTCCTAAACATCTGAGCATAGGCTGGCTCCTGATGTCAATCTGCTCAGGTGACCAAGCAGATGTATGCCTGTTTCATCACGTCATACTGGGAAAAGTACAGTTTGTCTGCGCACTTTGCAACATTATGGTCAGGCATTCTCTGTTACGACGATTTAGTAATTAATTATACCAATTTAATAAATGTCTTTCTATCCTGCATGTTTTGCGTTGCTGAAGGGGATGCTGCATGTAAGGGGAACTCTTCCTCATTAATGGAAGAGCAGAAGGAGATTAAAACAAGAGAGTTAGTTTAGTCTCTAAAACAGACATGGCTACGGCTTGATGCTAACATGTTTTATTACAAATTAAAGTTAGAATTCTGAGAAAAAAGTCATTCTGAGAATAAAGTCAGAGTTGTGACTTTTTTGTCATATTATACTGAAATAAAATGTAAAAATCAGTTAACCTTTTTTATTTTTTCACTGGCCCTAATCCTCTTCAGTATATTATTGTACTGTTAATGTCGGCCAGAGGTTTAATTGGACAGGCGTAACATATAATATAATTTTATAGCTTTTTTTAATGCATTTGAACAATAAAAAAAAAAGTGTTTTGCTGTATGGGATATATGTTTGTGTGTGTGTGTGTGTGTGTGTGTGTGCGTGTGTGTGTGTCTGTGTGTGTGTAGGGAGAGAGAGAGAGAGAGCGAAAAGAATAGAGTAGGAAATCCCTTTATTCTCCCACAATGGGTATATTCTGGTGTTTACAGCAGCAAAAACATTATACAGATTGTACACAAAGATGAGGACCTTAGAAAACTGTATAAGAATAAGATAATAGTAAAGGGTTAAAAAAAAATCAATAAATAAGATACTGTACTGTAAGGTGTTTTAACAATAGAAATATTGTGCACCTGGAGAATAAATAACTAATATACAGCTATGGAGATTTTTACAGTAATGGATATTTAAAAATAGCAGCAACATTAGAGATGTGCAAAATTACAGAAGCATGTTATTTTACTGACTAAGATAGAAACTGTACAAAATCAGCTCGAATGTAACAGCTTGTTTAGATTGTTGGGAACAGTGATGGTTATAAACTCTTATAGTTGCTGGGAGGAAGGATCTGTGATAACGCTCCCTGGTGCATTTAGGGTGCAGCATCCTGTCACTGAAGGAGCTCTCCAGCTCTGCAGCAGCTTCATACCTTTGGATTTCCGTAGATTTTCTTACCCCAAAAACACAAACAAGTTAAAGATAAAACATGTGTTCTCAAAAATACATACCGGTGATCCCGCTAGTGATTTGTAATTTGCACCATAACCACACAATTACTGGTGGAAAAAGAAGCCTCTGGCATAATTCTTGCTGGTTACAGAAGATACAATGAGTGCGTTTTTAAAATGCAGTCATTGTTCTGTTGGAAGATCCAGTTCTATCCAAATTTAAACCAGCTGACCAAATTGTTCCCATCTGATAAAAGACAATTCTGAGTGTTCAAAAACACCTCTAAAGCCACCAAAGCTCTAAAAAGATTTAAGCAGGAAGATACTGGAACATCCTGCTTACTTAACAAATGCCACTGCCACAGCAAAATGAACTTCAGAGACTGCTGATGTGCGGATCAAAAGTCAACACCATCAAGCATGTCTGTCCACGTATACAATCCAAATATCTCCTGGAGAAACTATTTGGTCACAAGTTTTAACAGGTTCCAAACAATGCTTTTAAACTGAACGCCTATTAATCAAGGAGGGAGGTGTTAATCCCAGCCATAGTGGTGCATTTTACAAATTAGATGGAATAATAAAAAAGGTTGGAATTTACTCAAATGCTTTAACTTTAGTTCAAACCAGCAGTTCTCCTACCAAACTGTTTCTAAATATTTTCTTTTACCGGTATTTGTTTTTTTAATAAATCCAGCTAAGGAAGACTAGTCTATGCGCATAATTAACAGTGATATTCATAGCAATATTGAGAAAACTTTGGACTGCAACTGTGTATTACTGCATCAAAAACACGTAACCATCACACACATACTGTTTGTTACACAAGAATATTAATTTGCAAAAAAGGAATGCAGCCAGCATATTCCCTACGATAACATGACCTAGGGTTATCTCTTCTGTGAATTAATTAAGAAAATCTGGTAAATGACAGTACAGTAACAAATATTTTAACTATGCAAATAAATATTTTGTAATTTCAATGAAAGATATGCATATTACATATTACTGCTCAAATAGAGGTAACTGACGACAATGTGGTTTAAAAACCAACAAGATTTAAAAAGAATGGCCAGATGGGAACCACTAATAATATGGTTAGTCTTTATCAACAAGATTAATAAATAACTTTTTTTTAAATCAATATCTATTAATTTTGTGATTTAAAAATACTAAGCCTATTAGACTTTCTTGTCATTTTAAGCTATTCATGAAATGAAAACCTTTAAGTCTCCATTACAGCTCCAGGAACGGGTCATACTTTGCAGAAGCTCTTGTAAAATAACATTAAAACACATTTCAAAACTGAATAAGGTAAATGGTGGTTTAGTCTGCTTGACTAAAACAGTTGGACACACATTTTAAGTGGAAATGCACTAAATGTTCAGGGCCTTGTCTGTCATCCCTCTGGCTCCAGATAGCATCACTTTACCACAAGATGGCATTGTTGTTGTGACCATTTTATTTGGCAAGATTGCTGTAAATGAGAAAATAATCCACACAAGATTGGTCTTCTCAAATGCATTTATTTATTCCTCACATGTCAAAACAAAGAAATGATAACCAAGTACTAACACCTTAAAAATAAATAAAGACAAGGTTTCAGATTGAAAAAAAAAAACATAAAACAAACTGTAGCCCTTTTTATTCTGAAACACACACACACACAATGGGAAGTCATGCTACACACAGTTGCTTTCTCTTATCTCTGCTACATATTTCTCCTTTTTTTGTACTACTACAAAAAATACAACCATCTGGCCCCACTGAGGGTTTAGCACTACATTTGGAGGAAATCATGAATTTGTGCTCTCCGATGCAGCAGAAAAATGATCACTTTCTTTGACTCAGCTGCTCACCATAAAACCAGGAAACCAAAAAATAACCATTTTACACGAGATCACATTTTCACATCAGTGCAATTAAACCCTGACCTTTAAAATTTTACCAACATGAGCATGCAAGATGATTCCTCATTTAGTCATTCTTATATACAAATTGGTGAAATGTGTTCACAAAGTGTCAAATCGCCCTTCTCAACACAAACAAAAGTGACTCTCACAACATAACAATTTGGATGTTTTGTTTTTTCAGATAGTGATGTTAAAGCTTTAGTGATCATCTATTTGCATCCTTGATGGTGCGTACTGTAGGAGCTACTGAGCTCTGTTTACTTTGATAGGATGCAGGTGTGCATTGCACATGGATTACAGCGATCGCAAAAGGCTTTTTCAATATCATGTATTGGTGGTAGATGGTAGATGGTTGGGGGCATTTCTGCTGGGTTTTATTGCTCCATTCTAATCATAAGCTTCAACATCAGTTTCCCTATCTCTCTGTGTCTGTCCTTTACCTGCCTGAATGTCAGTTATCAAACCTGCCTCTCTGCGTCGGCTTGGCTTGCTCTGCCTTTCACACAAAGACGCAGGCAAACACATTAACACCTACCATAATGAGGGTGCCAGCATCCACTGTGGGCTAGAATTTTTGGACCTCATAAATCTGTCTGGACCAACAATTAAAGTACATTTAGCGCCCACATATACACACGAACAACCATGATGCAAGTAAAGGTTTGTAATTTAGGATTCTGCATGTCTCCAGACATTTCTACAGAATCATAGTCCAAAATGAGGGCAGAAGGTAGTTTAAATAATAAAGGACTGCAGCATGTTCTGCTGCAAGACAACCTTGAAACACCCTTGGTGGGGACAAACAACCTTTACCCTCGGCTGAGTCAGTAAAAGGGGGTAGGGAAAGAATGAATAATGTCTACTAATTTTTCAGGCTTTGCCCTATAGCACTAAATAACTGTGACTGACCCTAAAAAGAAGCACAATCTAATCACATCTATCCATGTCCACTTTATAAAGTGTAAAAAGACTTTCCATAGGTTTCATTTATTGCAGCAAATCCCTTAAATCTATGGAGCATTATGATAATTCATTACACACAGAATGATATGTTTACAATATTTTTTTGGGTGTTATATTAGAGAATTGTAGCTTACATTAAAAAAAAAAAAAAAAAAAAGTTAAAATATGTTTTTCAATGAAATATGAGAACACCAACTAAAATTGTTTTTGTTAATACAGAAATGTTTTGGTTTGGCCATTATAGCTGAACAGCAAATTCAACATGGAAAGACTCACAAAGAAGACAAGCAACAATTAGGGAGTTTTATTGCCATGAAAAATACAGACTTTGGCGCTCAGGTCCCAGTGGAAGACTTAGGCGTAGAGAATTATGTATGATATGCTTGAGCAAATGAATTAGGAACGGAAGCCAGATGAAAACAGGGATGATGGTGGAGATGGGGTGGAGGAGGGTTGCAGCTTTGCTGGGGAGTAAGGGAGAACCATGGATGAACAGACTTAGAAAGCAGAGTACTGAATGATAATTGGGCACTGCTGAAGCATGGTGCAGGGCTGATAGGCTTGCAGCAGGAGGACTTCAGACGGTGATTGGATGAGAGGTGAAGCTGAATTATGTCTCCCAGTTTGAATTTCTGCTAAGGATTCATTAGACATTTCCATCATCTACCAGGATAGGAGCCATACAAGGTAATTTCTTAAAAAAGCTAGCTGTTGGCAGAGTGCTGTCATCAAGTATATCACTGCAAAGATAAGTTAGTTCTGAAAACAGTGCAAATATATAACTGCGACCTTAATGGTAAAGCAAAGCCTATTTAAGGCTTCAAGAGATTTCTATGGCTTAGACTGACATTGTTCAGTCTGAAAAACTAAGTTTAGAGCCAATCATGTTTTAATTGCCCAGCTTTATGGAGTTACTGACTTCATCTACAGTATGAGCAGGACCTGAAGCCTGCCCACACTAAAAAACTGTACCAATACCTCCTTAAATGACCATTGGATCACTCTGACTCATTAGACAGTAAAATTACAACTGAAACTCGAAGGAGAAAAAACTGAGTACTGTCAATAGGAAGATAAGAGACAACACCAATGATGCCAACAAGCTGAAGGCTACAATTAAACAACCTGAACTTCAGTAAAACCTCAGTAGAACCATAGTCCAATCACTTTGATGCCAAACTGCATTGATGCAGTAATCTGTTCAAAAGGAGCCCCAACCAGGAATTATGTGTATGTGGTACAGTATAGCACATAGGCCTACTTGACATTTCTGTATTAAAAATCTTCTTTTAATCACTCTTGCGTAATATTCAAACTTCCTGAAAAACAAAATTTTGAGTTTTCTTTAGAACATAAAAGATTAAAATAGATCACTCTTTGTGTAATGAATCTTTATAATATACATGTTTCCCTTTTTGATTAAATAACTGAAATTATTAATCCTGTAATACCCACTGATTTGCTCCTGTGTTTTTGTTTTAATCTGTGTTCGTTTTTATTGTGGATCACTGGCCTCGTAATGTCTGTACTTGTGCATTTTCACCTTCCTGAATATGACAAAACCTAAAGGAAGACTTAATAATATTGCTGCCCCTCACGGTTTTGGGTCTTATGAGCTCAACTTCCACGCTTTCAGCTCCAGTTGCAGACCTGATGTTTGTAAGATGTTACATTCGGAGGCCCATCTTGAAAAGCTTTTACTTCAACCTGATGTGTGAAAATATAATTTTCTTGGATTTAAGTTGCTGTTGTTTCTATTTGCTTCCTCCTCTCTACACAACTGGCAGAATTAGACTAGGAAGTGGTTGGATGAGCTTGAGTGAAATTTCAGAGTCTTTTACAGCGCAAAGAGTCGAATAAACCTCTTTATGAAAAATCAGCTCAGTTAAGCAGGAGGCCACGGGGTATTTTTTTTCCAGCCATTACGATAAAGAGTCCTTTTATCCAGGGTCTGCTCCACCAGAGACATAAGCAGGGGTGGATGAAGCTCTAGGGGTCACATGACAGTGCATCTGTTCCTCTGTAGCGCCCCCTGCAGACGGATGGAGGTATGGTTCTGGCGCATCCCCCGTGCCACAGCAATGCCCAGCAGCTCCTTGAAGAGCAGGACCACATGCCAGTTAAACTTGGCAGAGCATTCCACGTAGCCACACTTCCAGGTCTTCTTCACCAGGACTGACACTGCCCTGCGGGGCATGAAGCGCTGCCTCTGCAGATCCCGCTTGTTACCCACCACAAGGATTGGCACCTCACTGCTGCTGCCTTCCCTGAAGGAAAATGTAAAGTGGGAAAAAAATAAGGAGGGGTTGGTTTTAAAAGGCACAGCCATCAGCTTGGTGTTTGTCAAAGTGCTTGTCACTGTGTAGTGAGTGTGTACGCGTCTTCTGAGGTGTGTGGGGGTGGATGGGAAGATTACAGCTCACACAGGCTGGAGGGGGCCTCGCTTTGCAGTAGACAGTTTACAGTATTACTGGGAATGAGAATGTATTGCAAGTAAAGAAACATATCTGGGTCTCAAGATACAGTTTTACTCAGAAGTTTATATTCATTCACCAGCAGCGTGGGTGTCATGTCAGTTTTGGACTTTAACTTATTTATTTGGGTAATCTTTAGGCTGGAATGGTTATACAACATAAAGCAACTTTAAAAACAAAATGTGGGCAACAAATTTGACACTGTTGAGGATTTTCTTTGATCTATAAGATTTAATACATGCATATAAACAAATTGCTATTGTTCCCTTGCAAATTGCAGGGAAACCTAACAGATTTCAATACCACAAGAAAGGTCCTAGAATATTTCTGGCTAAGTATTTCAGTATTTCTGTTACAACACATGGTGTAGTCCCTTTAAATTTATAGTTTTCTTTAACACAGACCTGGCTTTTAAAATGACAGCACAATCCCAAAGGTAAATCAGAAACGGCTCTGAAAATACATGAAGTAGGTTACAGTAATGGCAATGACCTCAATTTTAAGGAATTTTTACAGGTTGTGATTAAAAGTGTGTTCCATGTTAAGGGATGCATTAATTTTTGCATTTTCTTAGAACACTGGTCAAACACTGAGCCAGTATGCTTTCAGCTTGATACTGGCTACAAACAACAACAAACATTTTTTTTTCTCAGCTTTATGTTGTAAACCCCTAAACTCAGTCCTAAACCATGCTGAAACACGAGTATTTCTATTTTGTGCTTTTTATTCATAACAAGGTTGTAATTACTATTTAAAATGAAATACAAAAAAGGGACCATAAGGTTATTGTTCATTGTCAGGCAATCATGTCATCAACCCATGCTGTCAAAGGCAAAACAGCATTTTGTCTATAAGCATAATAGTTTTGATAGGTCTTCTTTACAGCAACCTTTAATCACTGTTGACGTATAAGATAGCAGGTTATTAAACCTTTATTTTGGAAAGAATAGTCAAGAAAAAAAAAAAAAAACTCCACTGAGCTAATAGCTGTCCAAAAAAAAAAAAAACTCTCATGCAAATTTGACAAGCAAATTAAAGCTCTTTGTGATGCTGTCATGATCTTATATAATCATGAAACAACATCTGTAAGATAAGCACTTAAAGATAAAAATAAAAATAGGAAAAAAAAATGTCAAAACTAAAGTACTTTTCAATGCTACGAACTTTCCTGTTTAGACTTGGCAAGAAAGCGTCAAAAATAAGAAATTAAATTAGTATTTAACCCATCCCCTTGGGGAGCAGTGGGCTGCCATCGTGGGATGCCCAGGGAGCAGTGTGGGGTTAAGGGTCTTGCTCTGAGAGCCAGAGTGGCAGTCTGTGGGAGTGGGGCTCAGAACCTCAGGATTCCAAGCTCTATGCCCTAACCACTAGGCCACCACTCCCTACAATGGTTAATGGTTCATTAACATTATAAACTCAACCAATAGTTCATTGTCACCTGATTTTACTACTATTTTTTTCGGGTCAGAAGTTGAAAAGTTTGGGAACAGCTGACAGGCTTAGTGGCTTCCAGTGCTACTAGGATCACAAGATCTCTTTGATACAGCACAGAGGAGGAGGCTCCACCATAATATGAAGTGAACAAGGGAAATATTGTGAAGAACCATGCCTTGTTCAGGGGAATAGTGTTCTTCTTCTTTTGGAGCAATGTTCCTACCAACCATCTGGGAATACTTGCACCAAGCTTGTCGCCTTTCTGACCTGTATGAGTTTAAATTCATCTTCATATAAAATGCCAACTCTATTCATCACGTTTTTGACATACTTCATGTCTAGTGGTGTAAAAGGCAAATAATTTCAAGCTTTCCCCACTCTTAAGATTTGGATCAGGGCTACATTATCACACAAAAAATAATAATTTGCTGATCCCTATCTCCAGCAGTCTATAGGCAAAAAGTGGGTTACACCTTGGATAAGTTGCTAGTCTAACTCAGGGCAGAGACATAAAAAACATGCACACACATAAACCTTAGGGCAATGAGGGCAATGAAAGAGATGCCAATTAAACAGGTCATGTTTTTGGAGTGTGGGAGGAAGCTGGAGTACCCTGGGACAACCCACGCTAAACAAGGAGAACATGCAGAAACTCCATGCAGAAAACCACTTGGCTGGGAATCGACGCAGGACCTTCTTGCTGTAAGGCAACAGTTGTACAAACTGTGCAGCCCATATATATCATTATTGGCCCAAAATTAATATTATTCCAGCCTAAGATATATTTTGTTACGTTTCTGACTGGAGCTGGATGTACTTGTATGTTTTATCAAAGTACTTCTTGAAGAGGATCTAAGGAAGACATCAGCATCTGATAGGTGCTTCAGTAAACTTATGAGTTTATCAAATTTTAAAAATCCAAAACATTTAGCGATGTGTTAAATTTAATATTTAACTTTTATCCAATTCAAACAAAGGATTTGGATTATGAAACCATCTGAAGTATAGTGAAAATCCACTCAAAGCTGTTAATTCAGACCGTAATCCTTTGCTTAAATTACATCAAGGATGTAATTTAAGCAAGGCAAAGGCAAAAAAACCTGGGAGAGCTAATGCATTATTAATTTAGATTTTATTCTATTCATGAATAAAGATTTGTTTTGCTCCTAAATAATACCAATCCCTAACTAAGATTTGCATACCTGTGCATATTTCCACACCTGTTTTCCCAGGCTGAAAGCTTGATGGAGGGTATTACATAAAGAGACAGATGCACATTTCATCCTTCAAGCCCTCAAGCAGCACTCAGTAATCTCTCATAAACCAAAAACTGCTTTCAAAATCAGTGATTTCTCAGAGGGACTAAAACAATTTACGTGAAATTGTTAGGATGCATGTCTCAATAAAAATCTGGTGGAAGAGGAGAGAATGCCAACAGAAACCTCAATGAACTAAAGAAATGTTTAATGCCAGAGGGCTGAAGAAAAAGGAGAGGAAACTGGAAGGTACTCTAGTTTTCAGCAGATATCTGTAGAACCTGATCATGTCAACCCAACATTTTGTTCTCTTGAAGCTGCCATCAACAGAGAGAAAACCCCTTTAAACCTCCATTATTCATGATCTCTGCACAGGGTTGTTCCCCACTAGACGCTTTACGAGTCTCTTTCATTCCAACATAGTATTTTCATCCTGTGACTACACATCTCCTGTTTGGGATTCCTCTTGCATTCACCCTTTCTGTTGCTAATAATGGGTTTCTGACTCCAGCCATAAACATGGAGGGGGGGATGGACTGTGTGTTGGCAGCTCAGTCATGTTCAACACAGCAAACAAATGAAGTCTCTTTCTATATGGAAATATATTCAGGTGTGGCAGTATTGTAGATAACAAAGCAGCTTTTTCACTGATCCTTTATGTTTAGAGCTTAAGCCTCGTACAAAGTCATGCCGGAGACTTTAGATCTGTATGATATCACCTTTGTTCTTTATACTTATTCACTTCATATCAAACTAAAAGAGAAATATCCCAAATCAATAGGCCTCGTGCAAGAACCGTTCGTACAAACAAATTTGCTCTCAATCGCTCGTAGTGATTCAGGAAAAAATGTTGCATTTATCATTTTCCTCCTATTTCCAAACTTCTTTAAAGTACAAACATTACAAGTGCTTAAGACTTGACATAGGAGTATTGCGCAATCAGTCACCTGTGTTTTTTATTAAAATAATACATTGTTTAACCTTGAAGCAATTGTACTTTTCTTTTTTAGTTTTTATGGCACTAATGGCTCGTTTTTTTGGACAGAAGGCTGACAGGAAAGGGGGTATGAGATAGGGGGGAGAGACATGCGGCATGTGGCCTGCGGCATGTGGCCTGCGGCATGTGGCCTGCGTCAAGGACTAAGGCCTCCGTACATGTTTCGTGCATGCTAACCACTGCGCCAAATGCACGCCCTGCAATTGTAAACTTTATTAGGATGAATCATTATATATCATCCAGCTCTGCAATCATAAAATACTTATTTATTTGCTGATGATAGAACTACACCTGCAGCTGTCATGTCAGAATCTCGGGGACACTGGTTTAATTTGTTGTCAGTTCATCAAAAGAAAGAACAGTCAGTGAGATCTATGTGAGATCAAGCTGCGATTGAAATAACATCTGGAAGAGAAAGTTCAGCAACATGGTAACACTTCATATCACTCCATGGCAGCTTCTTGGCTGTGGAATGTTTGGGTTTGGGTCTGTCTGAATTAATCAAATTAGAGTTTCACCGTTAACATTTTTGTAATGCGTCATATGAGAGAGAGCAGGAGAAAGCGATGTATTGATGAAAGAACTGGTCTGGAGATGTACAGTACACATGTGCATGTGTATTAAAAGTACATTTAGCAGAATGTTTTGTGGTGTTGGTTGATGGTTTAGCATTTACATCACATGTTTTACCTCTAGCCTCCATCAGTAGTTTTCATTGACTGTTTTCCAATAAAAAAAAAATTCTGTAAGTGGGAAAAAAACCTCAGTCAAACTTAATGCATAGTGCAAGGACTTTTGATACTGTGGGATTTTAAATAAGAACCTAAATGCTTCCACAATGAAACAGATTCTGTTCAGCTTTGACATTCCTATTGTTTCAACAAAATGATCTAGAACATAAGTAAAAAAAAAAATCCATGGCACCTTGATTTAAATTGTTTGTATAGAGCTAAAGAGTTGATCAAATTATATTATTATTAATATTATTCTTATTTTCTCAATTTCATTTTTCCTTTTGTAACAGTGCAACCATGTTATTTACAGCTCTTGTAATTGAATTCCAACTCCTTTGCTTTTAATGATCTTTTAGTTCTGCTGCTCAGCTCTCAGTCATCAGATATTTGAACCCATAAAGTTTTCCTTCTTTGACTTCGATGCCATTTCTTCAGTATGAATGAACACCTTCTGACACAGGTGGGAATTTATAGCCCTCGCACTTATATGTAGCCTTAAATGGCATTGTCAGGGTCATAATTATGCAGATTTGCAGTTCTCATGAACGCGGCCTCATGCATCACATGTATAAGGATATTTATGATAATTTATTAAAAAGGAATGGTGCTTTGGTGACGCAGTGTTTAGTGCACATGACCCATGTACAGAGGCCTAAGTCCTTGACGTGGCTGACCTGGGTTCAAATGCGGCCTGTGGTCCTTTGCCGCATGTCTCTCCCTCCTCTCTTATACCCCCTTTCCTGTCAGCCTACTGTCCAAAAAAACAAGCCACTTCTTACACTTTCTGTAAGAAACGAAAAAAAAAAATGTCTGTTGAATCTGATGTGTTGGGTTCGTATAACCCACAATTGGAGAAAAGGTCAGATAAATTTAAAACAAGAAGATGAAAATAATGTTGCATGAGACCATATATTCCTAAAATGAATAATAATCATTGACGGTGCTCCCTTTGACAACATTCATGCAGCAGCATGAATGTCGTAACAAAGCCTCTCACAATTTAACCCTTTAAAGCCCGATCCAAGAATAAAACAAAACAGAAAATTACTTTTTTTTGGTTTGAAGTCCTTATTTGGCCTTTTAACAAAATATGTAAAAAGAAAAAACAAAAATAAATTTTTGATATTAATAATTTATTACTATGCGATAAGTCAAGATTATTTTTTGTGTAGTCTTCTGCCCTCTGTTTGTGTACAATAGGATTTTGAGCAAAGTTTTTACCTTTAAATTATGCAAAAGGTGTCAGACGCAAAACATTTCAGAAACCGTATGTATCAAATATGATACATTTGGCATTACAGGGTTAAGGAGGATGATACCACCACAGAAAAAGTAAATGCAGCACAACTGTTGAATTACAAAGCTTTGTAGCTGTCAGGTTGTGTGGAGGTTTTTTTTAGAGCACTCAAATACAGAGACGGAAGCTGAGGTGGTTTCTTGCAGATTTAATGACCAGAAGGTGGCAACAGAAGCAAAAATCCAAAAATAACAAAAAACTGAAAACCAAAAACCAGAAGAGTTCAGGGAAAACACAGATGAGGAGCAAGGAAACGACGAGGAAGCCGCACCAAGAAACTGCTCGAGAGGAGTATATATGCCAAACAGAACAAAGACTGGGGTAATCACCTGATTGGGAGCAGGCGTGGACAGAATAATCTAGAAGGGAGCTAGAGGAAAGAGACTCACACAAGAGGGCAACATAGAGTAAACAAGGAATACATAACAACTCAAATACAATCAGAAAACAATACAAAAAGGAAATGAAACCAATAGAAAAACTAAAAAAGAAAACAGAACCAAAAAGTGAAAAACTGACAGTAGCCTGATTTTTATGTAATGGCCATGCTACTTTATGTAAGAGCAAGGAAGTAAAAAGGCTGAGCATTATATGTTTCATTTTTAGTAACAGAAGAGAGGTCACATGTGAGCCAACCTGTTCTCCACTATCTGCTGTTTGATCATTTTGACGTATTCAAAGCTCTCCACACAACAGATGTCGTACACCAGGATGTAAGCGTTGGCGTTGCGGACGCCTCTGCAGCGCAGATCCAGCCATTCCTGAACGACAAAGAGAAAAACAGAAACAATTATTTTATTTTAGAAAAAGAAAGTTAGTTTCTACATCTTTATATATAAGAACATTTCTGCACAAATATTTTTTCAACTTGTTGAAACTTTTTCTTTAAAGCCTTCACAAAGAAGGAAGTCTGTGGAAGGTCTTAGAAGCATCCCACATCATCATGCTGTCAGCGCCATGTCTCTCAGTGGACGGCATGTGTTTTTTAGCATGGACAGACATAATCCTTTGCATGTTGACCAAAATATTTCATTTCAGTGTCATGTGGCAAGAACACGGTCTTCAATATGCTTCCTTTGTCTGTTTAATAGTTTGTGGAAAATTTCAAACAGGGCATCTTATAAGTTTCCTCTTGCTACCCTTCCATAAAGGCCAAATTTGTGGAGTGTATAACCCATATATTTTCAGATATAACAACATATTCTCAGATTTAAGCTTTAGATCTCTGTAGCTCCTCCAGAGTTACTACTGGGTTCTTGGCTGCTTCTCAGGTTGACGGCCATGTTTCAATAAGGTTACAGACGTGCTTTTATTTTCAGGCGATGGGTTAAACAGTGATTCCATAATTATTTAATGCTTAGAAAGCTTTAATACCTTATTAAAAGCTTTGAACTTCTTGTTTACAAAATATTAATTTTCCTCCTCTTTAAAATCATGCACTACTTCATTACCATGATATGAACTGCTGATAGATGTGGGTTTGAAAACTTAGAGTTGCACATCTGAACAAGCTGATCTGTAGCCTCAATCTAAAAAATGTTGAAATGGATCGGAAAGCGTTCTTGTTATTCTTGAAAAAAAATAAGTGCATTATTGTTTGTTAGCTCCAAGCGTCCTCCGGGAATGCAGTTCACATACTTTTAGACCATAGCAATTATAGTTGGCAGATAACTGAACAGCATGTACTCCCTGTTCCTGTAATTTTCCCTGAGCACTTTGGCTCATATAACATTATGCCTCTGCTGTAGAGAATGTGTACAGTGAATAAATTCCTGGAGCTGACTCAACTTTTGGTGCTTTGCATTCCTGAAATAAAGCAATTTCGTGATCGCCCAGAAGAAATCACCACTCAGTCTCCTAGTAACACCGATCAAGGACAATGAAAGAGGATAGACCACACAGATCACACAGAGTCTTTTAGCGGATGAAAAACAAACTCTTCTCACTGCTAGATCAGACTTTTAGTCATGATATTACATACATGATATCCTGTATTCGCAATCTTGTCCTTTCAGTCATTACCCTGGTCTCATGACCACAGATGAGGGTGGAAACGTAGATTGATCAGTAAATCTACAGCTTTGCCCCTGGATTCAGCTACCTTTTTACCACGACAGTCCGATACTGCAACCGCTTTACTGCCGACACCGCACAGATCTGTCTATCGATCTAAGGCTTAATCCATCCCTCACTTGTGAACAAGATCCCGAGATACTTGAACTCCTCCACTTGAGACAAGGACTCTCCACTGATCTGAAGAAAGGATTCCACCATTCTCCGGTGGAGCACCATGGCCTCAGATTTGGAGGAGCTGATCCTCCTCGAGGCCACTTCATACTCGGCTACAAACTGCCCCATTGCACGCCGAAGGTCCTGGTTTGATGAGTCCAACAGGACAACATCATTTGCAAACAGCAGAGATGATTTCCTGAGGTTCCAGAACCGGACACCCTCCGGTCCCAGGCTGCGCCTAGATATTCTGTCCATAAATGTAATGAACAGAACCGGTGACAAAGGGCGGCCCTGGCTGAGACCAACATGCATCGGGAACAGGTCTGACTTACTGCCGGCAATGCGAACCAAGCTCCTACTGCAGCCATACAGAGGGCCCTGCACCCCATACTGCTGTAGCACCCCCCAGAGGGCACCACAAGGGACATGGTTGAACACCTTTTCCAGATCCACAAAACACATGTGGACTGGTTGGGCGAACTCCCACGAACACTCGAGCACCTCATGAAGGGTATAGAGCTGGTCCAGTGTGCCGTGACCAGGAAGAAAACTGCATTGTTCCTCCTGGATCCGAGGTTCGACTATCAGGCCGGATCCTCCTCTTCAGCACCCTTGAGTAGAATGGGGAGGCTGAGGATTGTGAAGCACCCCGCTTCGACCGCCACCCAGTCCTCCCTGCACCCAACCCCTATGGATTCCTCTGTGAGTGGTGGGTCCACAGGAGGTTGGGCCAACTTGGTCTATTCGGGCTGGGCCTGGCCGTGGAAAAAGTGGCCCGGCCCCCAGGTGCTCGCATACGAACCCCAACTCTTCTTTTCATGGTTGCTTTATCTCTTACAAATGTGCTGTTAGACTGGTTTGACCGACAGGCAATGAATTTATAAATATTTGATATGATAAAAGAGAGATAGAGAGAGGAAAAACCTGAAGGAGAGGGGAAGTGAATCTGCTAGAGGAAAAACCATAAGATGAAAACAAGAAAAATGATGAGAAGATCAAAAGGCAGAAGGATCAATGGATAAACAAAACAGGAAGTTACCATCACGCCAGGATTTTTTCTCTCATTGTTTTAACAGGAGCTTTGCTCTCTGACACCACAGTCAGATCAGATGAAAATGACTAATATTCATTTTGGGTTAACAGGTTGAGGATATAGTGGGAGCTAGTAAGAGAGCTAGGTGAGAGGAAAAAAAAAAAAAAGCTCAGCTACCATGATAAAATGTGAACTAGAAAGCGTTAAAATTTTATTATTGGCTGTTTTATTTAGCAGTGTTTATTACTGATGCTGGAATTCAGTTTGTTGGTTCAAATCCCAACCTGTATGATGAGGTCTGCCTGTTCTCCCTTTGAGACCACATGGGTCTGTCAAGCTCTCTCCCTCTGTCCAGAAACCTCCATGCCAGGTTAACTAGCTTCTAAAAATTGCATTTAGTTGTGATTTTGAGGATGATTGGATGTTTGTCCTGCTGTGTCTCTGTGTTGCTCTCAGAGTGGTTGACCTGTGCAGAACACCCCCATCCCCTCTTCAATGGCTAATGGAAGCAGCCTCCAGGTCTTGTGTGATTATGTTTCAAGGATTTAGCAAACACAGAAAGTGGATGCATGGAATCCGTCACTAAATAAGTGTCCTGTTTTGGAGAAAATGTTTTAAAAAGTAAGAATTAAATAATATACTGTAGTTTCCACATTGAACATGCAATCTAACACTAAGTCCTGCTTTTTACAGGATAGTTCAACAAAATTGTTCAAAACTTATGGAAGGAAATCCATTACTGGTTGTGTTTTCTCCTGGAAAGAAGTCAAAAAGGGCAAGTTATTAATGGACAAAAAACAAATAATTAACAGAGTATCATGTTGTTTCCTAAATTGAATTTTCACAAATGTTTTTCACAAAATCCATACCAGAAAAACGAGTTTCTTTTATTCTGTAAAAATCTCTAAAAACTGTTCATACAGCCCCTGCAATTAAACATGTCTCTTTAATATCACAATATAGATTATTACAAACCCATAGTAACTCTGTTACCTAAGCACTCTGTTATGTTTATCTTCTTGGTTTACATTCTGTTAAAATATAAAATTAGATAGATCTTGTAGAGGTTTATCTGTTGCAATATAATGTACCTACAAAAACTTTATTTTGCACTTATTTTTCAGCCTTTTTCTATTTTGCATATCTTGTTATGGAGGCATTATGCTTTACTTAATATTCTTTTATTTTTCTTTACAAAAATTAAGGTGGCATTTTTATCTTTTCTGTTTGTCAGTATTTTTTTATTATTATATTGTTCATAAGACAATTAACCTCGTTTTAAAACACTTTTCCTTCATAAAACACAATTTAAAAGGAGCTTTATCAGCCTTTTTATAAGAAATGCATTAACAATAAAAGAAAATGGGAAAACTCTTTATGGGTCCCTTGATGTTCTTTTTTGAAAGCTACACATTCTTCTTACTTCAAACCTCACTTTTATTTTTGGAGGCATTGGATATTTTGTGGATGTTTACAACAAAACAGGCTTAAATCAGAGGTAAGTGGACTTTCACTCTGAGTTCTGTAAAATCTGGTTGCTTCTGGTTTAAACCTGTCTTATGTTTTTCATGTTTTTAGCCCTTATTTGTTTAATCTGTCTCACATTTCTGGCACTCGTGGATCCTCATTTTCGCACACATCAAATCAAAAGCAGAGATCCCCTGATTGGCTGATCAGTGAAGAAGCAGAAATGATTAAGGAAAACCGACTCAGCACCTCATCACAAATAAGCTTTTTTTTTTTTTTAAACTAGAGTTTCAACTAGAGCTGTCATTTTTACTCTGACTAGTTTGATGTAAGGATGTGCAGCAAGAGGGTGTAGTTCCCTTATTCTTGGTGATAGATAATGTTTAGATAGATAATGTTTTGGGATGCACAATGCAAAAAGTGCTCACTGTGTCAAAAAAGTATATTTTCTTGGTTTTACAGTGTTTGTTTAAATCACATTCATAGTGAACTTACAGTAAGTCTTATATCTTTTTTGACAGTTAAATAATCTGTAAAATCTATCAAATTTCAATATTTAATTTTAGTACAATTATTCACAGGAAAATCATTTCTACTGTTTACAACCCCTCCTCTTTTTAAACCCTTTTTCTGATAGTATATCAGCACCTAATTTCTTTTCCTGAAACATTCCACTTGATTTGATTATACAGAGAGGAGCATCTTTCACCAATTCATCTTGAGAGGATCTCTCTAAATCTATCTAGGCTCCCCTCATTTGCTCAACTCATTAGCTCACTACACATAATTTAAATAAAGGTGCCATGGATTTTTTTTTTAAAACTTATGTTCTGGATCATTTTGTTGAAAAAAGATCTGAAATGTCATAACTGAATAAAATCAGTTTCATCTTGGAAGCATTTCGATTCTTATTGAAAATCCCACAGTACCACAAGTCCTCCACTGTGCATAAAGCGGGACTGAGTTTTTTTTTTTTCCACTTACAGTTTATACTTTAACACTGCGCCCACCTGGAGAGTTTGTTGGCGT